TTATAGTCGATTATAAATCTTTGGTGTTTGTTAGGATTATTGAATGAATGACTCAAAGTGTTTATAATTATGATTCAACTCGTTGCAATAGAATAAGCTAATAGTATGTATATTTTTGTCTCTTTTTATATTTTTGTCTTGCTTTATATTTTCTCAATTTCGTTAATGCTAAATTTGTTTGTACGTCGACGGCGTATTAAGGAACACCATGATGATTACAGCTTGTTATTGAGGCATAGTTCCTTATCAAACAATGTAAAGATTAATTTCGCCCGTTAAAACACATACATATATATATACGCATATATATATATATATATATATATATATATATATATATATCCCATCTCTCTCTCTACACATATATAGACATCGAAGTCACCACACAGAGGCGATATTTCTTTCATGCGAAAAGGTATCGTCAGGCTACGACGATTGCGTTTAACGTGAAACAGATTGTCGCCTCTGTGCGTTGAATTCAATGTTCACTTTATATTTTTATACGCTCTATCTCTGATATTGAGCACTTTAACACCTAAATATAGCATTTAACATTATATATTATCATATATATATATATATATATATATATATATATATATATATATATGTATGTATGTATGTGTGTGAGTGTGTGCGTGTAAGTGTGTGTGTAAGTGTACATGTGTGTGCATGCGCAATCAAAAGAAAAGATACAGAAAATCATTGTTACTGCTAGTTTCCCGTGACGAAGCGATCCTCAGACAGTACAGTAACTCACATTTGGATCGTTTTACGCATAAAACTACTATTTATAGTGAAGTTTATTTCTCTGTGGCTGTTTTGGATTGTATTTTCTAATTCCCTCTAGTTTGTAAATCGATGAGTAAAATGTCTTCAGCAGGATCTGTCTACAGAGATTCGCCAAAAACGTGCTGATTGTTTCGAGTCGTTACTTGCACGGAAAATGCAAGTGCCCTTTTGGGATAGGCTTGTTATTGACGATAGGAAATGGAATCATCTCCATAATGCTATACAACCGTAGTCATTGGATCCATCGAAGAAAAATAAAAACTGCACAGCACCCGAAAGGATTTCATCCCAAGAAGATCATTTTCAGTGATTCATGGAATCATCAATTACGAATTCTTAGACAATGAGCAAACCATTAATGCATCAAACCATGAAATCTGGTGACAAAAGCTTAATCATTTGAAAGCAGTTTTGACATAAAACATCCATCCTTAGTTAACAGAAAAAGAATAATCTTCCATCATGTTAATGTCCGTCCTCACATTGCATAACTGCCTAAAGATCTCTGAGAGGTGGTCAGTTGGCAAGACTTGATTCATCCCCCATATTCTACAAACCTTATTCATCTGCTACCAAAAACCTAATCATTTGGCAGCAGCTTTGGACATAAAACATCTATTCGTAGTTAACAGAAAGGGAGTAATCTTCCATCATGATAATGACCGTCTGCACACTGCTTGATTGCCTAATGTTCTCTGGTCGGTTTCGAAGACTTGATTCATTCCACATATTCTCTTGAAGTTACTCATCAGCAGCCAAAGACTTAATCATGTGGAAGCAGTTTGGTCATAAAACGTTCATTCGTAGTTAACAGAAAGGAAGTAATCTTCCATCATGATAATATCCGTCTTCATATTCTATAATTGCCTAAATATCACTGAGTGGTGACTGGTTGGTTGGGAAGACTTGACTCATCCGCCATATTCTCCTGCCCTTGTTTATCTGCATACCAGAGTAGTCGGAGAGGTGTAGCGTAAATCGTAAATCGTCTGGATAGGCATGTAGTAGTGTGACCGAAGAAAATTTTTTTCTGATTTTTGATTAGGAACACAGTTCTTTAAGGCGCATTTAAACTAGTAAATATTGTTAGCTCTTTGTAGTTTTAATTTTGCTGGTGTGTTGTTATTTTTGAGGTTAAGTTTTACTGTTTTCAGTTTTTGTAATAGATGATTAACTTGATTTTTGTTCGGGTCAACTGGGGTAGTGGATTTCATTATGATATATCAAAGTGAAGATTCGTCTTGTTTAGGGTCACGTGAAGAAACCGAAAGGTTGAAAACAAAAGAGGGGAATCGGCTGATCTCATAATTTTTTAGACTTAAAATCTCTACATGTTAAATTTTATTTTTCATACGTGTATTGAGCACTTTTTAATACTACTGTTTGCTGGTCTAATTCAACTCTAACCATTAACTAATATATAATAATATTTTTTTTTTGTTTAAAAATATGATTCCTTCGCTACATAAGAGTTCTCATGTTTCAAAGCGAAATTTTAAGAATTCTAAATTTAGGATTCCTAAAATTTCGCTTGAAGATGAAACGGGACTAAACACCACAATTCAACTTAGTTTTAATAATTATTTGGATGGTTTCGGCTCTCGTTTTTGAAACATGAGAACTCTTATGTAGCGAAGGAATCATATTTTTAAACAAAAACTATTATTATAATAAAGCCCTACTTCTGTATGGAGCACTGTCTTCTTAAAAAATAAAAACAAAAATACTAAGGAACACCGGATTATGCACCCAACGTGTTCTTTTTCTATTTTCTGCATACCTGCGCACTTATATATATATATATATATATATATATATATATATATATATGAATACAATGTTGGTGTAGATGGAATTAACATCCAGTAACCAAAAACATTATTTTCAAAAATGCTCAATGCAGATTAAAGCGAATTATAATTATTTAAAAATAATGGCATATGTATGTTATAACATTACAACAAAAATAGCCATTTTTTCCAACACTTCGGGTGCCTTGCCAAGTAATTGTGTTGCAAGTAAGACATTAATTGCAACACCATCACTTGATAAGGCACCAAAATAGTTGAAAAAATGGCTATTTATGTAGTGATGTTATAACATACATATGTTATATATATATATATATATATATATATATATATATATATATATATATATATAGTTGGATTGGTGTGAGTTTGTTAGCTCTATCACTGATATTGAGCGCTTTCCATTAATTACCGCGCATATATAATATATGAGTAATATATATAAAAAATTATATATATATATATATATACACATTTTACACACACATATAGATATAATGTCTTAAATAATTGTCGGACTTTGTCCATTTCATAATGTATGACGTCAATTGTTTACATTGGATACGCGTTGTGCATAGATGAATGGATGAGAGAAACTCATGGAGAATTGTGTTTAAAAGCAGTGAAATCGATCTTGCTAACCGAATGCTCGTCTGTGATCGAATCAGTTAAGGCACGTCAGGCTATATGACGTTTCCGTATAGGATACAGGTTCGATTCCTGTCGGTGGACGCATATTTTCTATGAAAATTTCTCGGACATTCAGGCCGGTAAATGTTGTTTAATACTGTTTATTATAAACAGGGCATTTACTTAAATATTTGTATCTATAAAAAGAACGTATAAACATAAGAAAATTACTTGGAGTGAGGTTTTTCTATTTTCCTTTCAAAAACAAGCGGTAAAAAGCGCTTCCTATATGAATTTCTACAGAGGCAATGTAAAGGAAGCAGTGTAATAAATTTGCTTTTAAAAATAATGATTCTGTGTTTTTTTTGTTTTTTTTTATTTCTGCTTTCAACAGTCCTAATTCCGAGAGAGAGTGAAGCAAACGCCCAAATAATATCAGGCATCTATGTTAATTTAGGTATTCTATTTGTTGCATGCAAATGTTTCTTATCTTCTATTCTTTCCAATATGGATTCGATCTCATCCGTGCCGTCGGTCTTTTCCTACCTTCCCGGTACCTCCAAACACACACACACACACATATATATATATATATATATATATATATATATGTGTGTGTGTGTGTGTGTGTGTATATATATATATATATATATATATATAAATGTATATATATGTATGTGTGTGTATATATATATATATGTATATATGTATGTGTGTGTATATATATATATATATATATATATATGTATATATGTATGTGTGTGTTTGTGTGTGTATATATATATAAGACACAGCGCCTTTTTTGGTATGTTTATCTAGAAGAATTATCAAGAGTTATTTGTATTCAGGCTTATGCATATTCATTAAGCACTCTAATTTTATCTTTGCAACAATGAAAAGGTGAAATAAAAAAAAAATTGTCTATTCAAATTTTTGCGCGTGGAAATATTTGGCTTCCTTCAATAGACAGAACTTTTTCACAGACAATGTATTCTTCCACACATATATTTGTCTATCAATGTACCATTTTCTATCTTGTTTCTGAAGGGAAAAAATCTATCTATCTATTTCTATGAAGGGAAAGGGAACGAGGTATCTAAGAAGAACCATAGTTTTAGCTATTTTCTGAAATGTTTTTCTTCTCAAACATGTATTATGTATCTATCTATCTAGGGAACGATCTATCTATTTCTATAAGTTTTCTTTCTATCAATCTATCTAGGGCTATCTATTTCTATCTATCTATTTTTTTTGTCTCAATCTTTTCTTTCATTATGAAGGGAAAGGGAACTTTCTAGAGGAAGAAATAGTAGCTAGCTATTTTTATGAAGGATTTTGGAAAGGTAGAGGAAGAAATGTACCATAGTAGCTAGCTAGCGAACTATAAGTTTTATAAGTTTTATGAAAATGTCCCAAACGTCATTATCTATCTATCTATCTATCTATCTATCTATCTATCTATCTATCTATCTATCATATCTATTCTTTCTTTCTTTCTTTCTTTCTTTCTAGGAAAAAAATGTACCATAGTAGCTAGCTATTTCTGTTAGGAAAGGGTCAAACATGTCATTATGTACCTAGCTAACTAAAGGAACGAGCTAGCTATTTCTATAAGTTTTATTTCTTTCCGAGGTAAACTTCATTATCTATCTATCTATCTATCTATCTATCTATCTAATTCATATCTATCTATCTATTCTTTTTAGCTTTCTTTTTTCTTGAAGGGAAAGGGAACTTTAGCTAGCTATTTCTGTTTTTTTCTCAAACATGTCATTTTATGTACCTAGCTATTCTATGAAGGAAAGCTAGCTATTTCTATAAGTTTTATTTCTTTGAAAAAGGAAAACGTCAGGTAGGAATTTATCTATCTATCTATCTATCTATCTATCTATCTATCTATCTATCTAGGTAGAGGAAGAAATCTTTCTTAGTTTCTTTCTTTCTTTCTTTCTTTCTTTCTAGCTAGGTAGAGGAAGAAAGCTAGCTATTTCTAGTTTTTTTTCTCAAAAAGGTCATTATGTAGGAAGATAACTAGTGAATGAGCTAGCTATTTCTATGAAAGGAAATAAGTTTTATTTTTTATGAAGGGAAAGGGAATTATCTATCTATCTATCTATCTGTTTCTATCTATCTAGGTAGAGGAAGAAATCTATCTATAGTATCTTTGTTTTATGAAGGGAAAGGAACTTTCTTTTAGCTACCATAGTTTCTTGTTTTATGAAAGGAAAGGGAACGAGCTAGAAGCATTAGTAGCTAGCTGAAGGGAAAGGGCTAGAAAGCTATTTCTAGAGGAAGTTTTTTCTGTTTTATGAAGGGAAAGGGAACGAGGTACCTAGCTAACTAGTATTAGTAGCTAGCTATTTCTATAAGGAAAGAGTTTATTTCATTTCCCCAAAGCGTCTAGTTTCTATCTATCTAAAGGAATGATAGAGGAAGAAATGTCATTATCTAGCTGTTTCTATGAAGGAAGGGAATCTAGAGGGAAGAATCTACCATAGTAGATTTCTATTTCTATATGAAGGAAAGGGAACGAGGTAGAGGAAGAAATCTATCATTTTCTTTCTGTTTCTTCCAGGTAGAGGAAGAAATTTCATTTCTTTCTAGCTGTTTCTTGAAGGGAAAGGGAACGAGGTAGAGGAAGAAAGTACATTAGTAGCTAGCTGTTTTTTTAGAGGAAAACAAATGTACCTTTCTATGAACTAGTGAATGAGCTAGCTATTTCTATAAGTTTTATTTGAAGGGAAAGGGATCGAGGTAGAGGAATCTATCTATCATATCTATCTATCTGTTTCTATGAAGGAAAGGGAAAGGAAGAAATCTATCATATCTATCTATCCTAGAAAGGAAAGGGAAAGGTTTCTTTTCTTTCTTTCTTCTTGTTTCTTTGAAGGAAAAGGGAATGAGCTAGGAAGAAATACTAGCTATTTCTGTTTTTTTCTATGACCTAGGAAAGGAATGAGGTATTTCTATAAGGAAGAAATGTAACATAGTAGCTAGCTGTTTCTATGAAGGGAAAGGGAACGAGGTCTTTCTTTTCTTTCTTTTACCATTAGTAGCTAGCTGTTTCTATGAAGGGAAAGGGAACGAGGTAGAGAAAAAATGTACCATATTAGCTACTGTTTCTAGAAGGGAAAGGAACGAGGTAGAGGAAGAAATGTACTATAGTTTTATTTCTTTCTATGAAAACGTCATTAGGTAGAGGAAGAAATGTATCATAGTATCTAGCTGTTTCTATGAAGGGAAAGGGATCTAGAGGAAGAAATATCATATCTAGCTATCTGTTTCTATGAAGGGAAAGGGAACGAGGTAGAGGAAGAAATGTATCATAGTATCTTTCCTTTGAAGGGAAATGGAACGAGGTAGAGGAAGAAATGTACCATAGTAGCTAGCTGTTTCTATGAAGGAAAAGGAACGATTTTTCTTTAGCTTTTTCTATGAAGGGAAAGGAACGAGGTAGAGGAAGAAATGTAGCCATAGTAGCTAGCTATTTTCTATGAAGGGGGAAAGGGAACGAGGTAGAGGAAGAAATGTACCATAGTAGCTAGCTATTTCTATGAAGGGAAAGGGAACGAGGTAGAAGAAATGTCATAGTAGCTTTATTTCTTTGAAGGGAAAGGGAATGAGGTTAGGAAGAAATCTATCTAGGGTTTTATGAACTAACTATGTTTCGAGGAAGGAAAGGGAACGAGGTAAAGGAAGTATCATAGTAGCTAGCTGTTTCTATCTAAAGGGAACGAGGTCTTTCTTTCTTTATTAGTTTCTAGCTGTTTCTATGAAGGGAAAGGGAACGAGGTAGAGGAAGAAATGTATCATAGTAGCTAGCTGTTTTATGAAGGGAAAAGGAAGAAATGTAGAATAGTATGCTACCTAACTAACTGTACCATAGTAGCTAGCTGTTTCTATGAAGGGAAAGGGAACGATTTAGAGGAAGAAATTTTATTTAGCTGTTTCTATGAAGGGAAAGGAACGAGGTAGAGGAAGAAATGTACCATAGTAGCTAGCTGTTTCTATGAAGGGAAAGGGAACGAGGTAGAGGAAGAAATCTACCATAGTAGCTATCTGTTTCTATGAAGGAAAGGGGAACGAGGTAGAGGAAGAAATGTACATTAGTAGCTAGCTGTTTCTATGAAGGAAAAAGGGAAGAAAGGTAGAGGTTTTTTGTTTCTATAGAAGGAAGCTTTTCTATGAAGGGAAAGGAACTAGAGGTAGAGGAGGTAGAGGAAGAAATGTACCATAGTAGCTAGCTGTTTCTATGAAGGAAAGGGAACGAGGTAGAGGAAGAAATGTACCATAGTAGCTAGCTGTTTCTATAACGAGGTAGAGGAAGAAATGTTAGTAGCTAGCTGTTTCTATGAAGGGAAAGGGAACGAGGTAGAGGAAGAAATGTACCATAGTAGCTAGCTATTATCTAGGGAAAGGGAATCTAGGAAGAAAACATTAGTAGCTAGCTGTTTTATGAAGGAAAGGGACATAGAGGAAAAAAATACCATAGTAGCTAGCTGTTTCTATGAAAGGAAAGGAACGAGGTAGAGGAAGAAATGTACCATAGTAGCTAGCTGTTTCTATGAAGGGAAAAGGAACGAGGTAGTAGAGGATTTCCACCATAGTAGCTAGCTGTTTCTATGAAGGAAAAGGAACGAGGTAGGGAAGAAATGTACCATAGTAGCTAGCTGTTTCTATGAAGGGAAAGGGAACGAGGTAGAGGAAGAAATGTACCATAGTAGCTAGCTGTTTCTATGAAGGAAAGGAACGAGGTAGAGGAAGAAATGTACATTAGTAGCTAGCTGTTTCTATCTAGGTAGAGGAAGAAATGTATCATAGTAGCTAGCTGTTTCTATGAATTTCTATAGAGGAAGAAATGTACATCTAGCTATCTTTCTTTCTATGAAGGGAAAGGGAACTAGGTAGAGGAAGAAATGTACATTATAGAAGTAGCTTTCTATTATTTTATGAAGGAAAGAAAGGAACGAGGTGTTTCTATGAAGGAAATGTACCATTAGTAGTTGTTTCTATGAAGGGAAAGGGAACGAGGTAGAGGAAGAAATGTACCATAGTAGCTAGCTATTTCTATGAAGGGAAAGGGAATGAGTAGAGGAAGAAATATACCATAGTAGCTAGCTGTTTCTATGAAGGAAAGGGAACGAGGTAGATTACCATAGTAGCTAGGTATGAAGGAAAGGAACTAGGAAGAAATGTACCATAGTAGCTAGCTGTTTCTATGAAAGGAAAGGGAACGAGGTAGAGGAAGAAATGTACCATAGTAGCTAGCTGTTTCTATTCTAGGAAGAAATTTCTAGTAGCTAGCTGTTTTATGAAGGAAGGGAAGGGAACAGAGGTAGAGGAAGAAATGTACTATAGTAGCTAGCTGTTTCTATGAAAGGAAAGGAACAGGTAGAGGAAGAAATGTACCATAGTAGCTAGCTGTTTCTATGAAGGAAGAAATAGAGGAAAGTACCATAGTAGCTAGCTGTTTCTATGAAGGGAAAGGGAACGAGGTAGAGGAAGAAATGTATCATAGTAGCTAGCTATTTCTATGAAAGGAAAGGGAACGAGGTAGAGGAAATATATATTATAGCTATCTGTTTCTATCTAGGAAAGGGAAAGGTAGAGGAAGAAATAGTAGCTAGCTGTTTCTTTCTTTCTTTCATAGTAGCTAGCTGTTTCTATGAAGGGAAAGGAAAAATGTACCATAGTAGCTAGCTGTTTCTATGAAGGGAAAGGGAACGAGGTAGAAAGAGGAAGAAATGCTACCATAGTAGCTAGCTATTTCTATGAAAGGAAAGGGAACGAGGTAGAGGAAGAAATTTACCATAGTAGCTAGCTGTTTCTATGAAAGGGAAAGGGAACGAGGTAGAGGAAGAAATGTATCATAGTAGCTAGCTGTTTCTATTCTAAAAGGGAACGAGGTAGAGGAAGAAATGTACCATATTAGCTAGCTTTTTCTATGAAGGGAAAAGGGAACGAGGTAGAGGAAGAAATGTACCATAGTAGCTAGCTATTTCTATGAAAGGAAAGGAACGAGGTAGAGGGAAATGTACCATAAGCTAGCTGTTTCTATGAAGGGAAAGGGAACGAGGTAGAGGAAGAAATGTACCATAGTAGCTAGCTGTTTCTATGAAGGGAAAGGGAACGAGGTAGAGGAAGAAATGTACCATAGTAGCTAGCTGTTTCTATGAAAGGAAATTGAACGAGGTCGAAGAAATTTACATTAGTAGCTAGCTGTTTCTATGAAGGGAAAGGGAGCGAGGTAGAGGGAAGAAATGTACCATAGTAGCTAGCTGTTTCTATGAAAGGAAAGGGAACGAGGGAGGAAGAGCTAGCATTAGTAGCTAGCTGTTTTATGAAAGGAAAAGGAACGGTAGAGGAAGAAATATACCATAGTAGCTAGCTGTTTCTATGAAGGGAAAGGGAACTAGGTAGAGGAAGAAATATACCATAGTAGCTAGCTGTTTCTATGAAGGAAAGGGAACGAGGTAGAGGAAGAAATGTACCATAGTAGCTAGCTGTTTCTATGAAGGAAAGGGAACGAGGTAGAGGAAGAAATGTACCATAGTAGCTAGCTGTTTCTATGAAGGAAAGGGAACGAGGTAGAGGAAGAAATGTACCATAGTAGCAGCTATTTCTATGAGAAAGGAAGGGAAGTAGCTAGCTGTTTCTATGAAATGTACCATAGTAGCTAGCTGTTTCTATGAAGGAAAAGGGAACGAGGTAGAGGAAGAAATGTACCATAGTAGCTAGCTGTTTCTATGAAGGAAAAGGAACGAGGTAGAGGAAGAAATGTATCATAGTAGCTAGCTGTTTCTATGAAGGGAAAGGGAACGAGGTAGAGGAAGAAATGTACCATAGTAGCTAGCTGTTTCTATGAAGGGAAAGGAACGAGGTAGAGGAAGAAATGTACCATAGTAGCTAGCTATTTCTATGAAAGGAAAGGAACGAGGTAGAGGAAGAAATGTATCATAGTAGCTAGCTGTTTCTATGAAGGAAAGGGAACGAGGTAGAGGAAGAAATGTACCATAGTAGCTAGCTGTTTCTATGAAGGGAAAGGGAACGAGGTAGAAGGAAGAAATGTACCATAGTAGCTAGCTGTTTCTATGAAGGAAAAGGGAACGAGGTAGAGGAAGAAATGTACCATAGTAGCTAGCTGTTTCTATGAAGGGAAAGGAACGAGGTAGAGGAAGAAATACCATAGTAGCTAGCTGTTTCTATGAAAGGGAAAGGGAACGAGGTAGAGGAAGAAATGTACCATAGTAGCTAGCTGTTTCTATGAAAGGAAAGGGAACGAGGTAGAGGAAGAAATGTACCATAGTAGCTAGCTATTTCTATGAAGGGAAAGGGAACGAGGTAGAGGAAGAAATGTACCATTAAACGTAGAGGAAGAAATGTACCATAGTAGCTAGCTGTTTCTATGAAGGGAAAGGGAACGAGGTAGAGGAAGAAATGTACCATAGTAGCTCTATTTATATGAAGGGAAAGGGAACGAGGTAGAGGAAGAAATGTACCATAGTAGCTAGCTGTTTCTATGAAGGAAAGGGAACGAGGTAGAGGAAGAAATGTACCATAGTAGCTAGCTGTTTCTATGAAGGAAAAGGAACGAGAGGTAGAGGAAGAAATGTACCATAGTAGCTAGCTGTTTCTATGAAGGGAAAGGGAACTAGGTAGAGGAAGAAATGTACCATAGTAGCTAGCTGTTTCTATGAATAAAAGGGAACGAGGTAGAGGAAGAAATGTACCATAGTAGCTAGCTGTTTTTATGAAAGGAAAAGGGAACGAGGTAGAGGAAGAAATGTACCATAGTAGCTAGCTGTTTCTATGAAAAATGAAGAAATATCTATAGTATCTAGCTGTTTCTATGAAAGGAAAGGGAACGAGGTAGAGGAAGAATGTATATTAGTAGCTAGCTGTTTCTATGAAGGGAAAGGGAACGAGGTAGAGGAAGAAATGTACCATAGTAGCTAGCTGTTTCTATGAAAGGAAAGGGAACGAAAGGTATCTAGCTAGAGGAAGAAATGTACCATAGTAGCTAGCTGTTTCTATGAAGGGAAAGGAACGAGGTAGAGGAAGAAATGTACCATAGTAGCTAGCTGTTTCTATGAAGGAAAAGGAACGAAAGGAAGAAATGTACCATAGTAGCTAGCTGTTTCTATGAAGGAAAGGGAACGAGGTAGAGGAAGAAATGTACCATAGTAGCTAGCTGTTTCTATGAAGGAAAGGGAACGAGGTAGAGGAAGAAATGTACCATAGTATCTAGCTGTTTCTATGAAGGGAAAGGGAACGAGGTATCTAAATGTACATTAGTAGCTAGCTGTTTCTATGAAGGGAAAGGGAACGAGGTAGAGGAAGAAATGTACCATAGTAGCTAGCTGTTTCTATGAAGGGGAAAGGGAAAGAGGAAGAAATGTACCATAGTAGCTAGCTGTTTCTATGAAGGAAAAGGTAGAAGGAAGAAATGTACCATAGCTATTTCTATGAAGGGATTTCTTTCCCAAAGAAGAAATGTACATTAGTAGCTAGCTGTTTTCTGAAAGAAAAATAGGTAGAGGAAGAAATGTACATAGTAGCTAGTATCTAGAAAGGAAAGGGTTTCTATGAAATGTATCAAGTAGCTAGCTGTTTCTATGAAGGGAAAGGGAACGAGGTAGAGGAAGAAATGTACCATAGTAGCTAGCTATTTCTATGAAGGGAAAGGGAACGAGGTAGAGGAAGAAATGTACCATAGTAGCTAGCTATTTCTATGAAAGGAAAGGGAACGAAAGGAAGAAATGTACCATAGTAGCTAGCTGTTTCTATGAAGTGAAAGGGAACAGGTAGAGGAAATGTATCATAGTAGCTAGCTGTTTCTATGAAACGAAAAGGAACGAGGTAGAGAAGAAATGTACCATAGTAGCTAGCTATTTATCTATGAAAGGAAAGGGAACGAGGTCTAGGAAGAAATGTACCATAGTAGCTAGCTGTTTCTATGAAAGGGAAAACGAGGGAAAGGGAACGAGGTAGAGGAAAAGGAGAGGAAAATGTACATTAGTAGCTAGCTGTTTCTATGAAGGGAAAGGGAACGAGGTAGAGGAAGAAATGTACCATAGTAGCTAGCTGTTTCTATGAAAGGGAAAGGGGAACTGAGGTAGAGGAAGAAATGTACCATAGTAGCTAGCTGTTTCTATGAAGGAAAGGGAACGAGGTAGAGGAAGAAATGTACCATAGTAGCTAGCTGTTTCTATGAAGGAAAAGGAACGAGGTAGAGGAAGAAATGTACCATAGTAGCTAGCTGTTTCTATGAAAGGAAAGAGGGAAAGAAATGTACCATAGTAGCTAGGAAGGAAAAGGGAACGACCAGGAAGAAAGTACCATAGCTAGCTGTTTCTATGAAAGGAAAGGGAACGAGGTAGAGGAAGAAATGTATCATAGTATCTTTCTTTCTATGAAAGGAAAGGGAACGAGGTAGAGGAAGAAATGTACCATAGTAGCTAGCTGTTTCTATGAAGGGAAAGGGAACGAGGTAGAGGAAGAAATGTACCATAGTAGCTAGCTATTTCTATGAAGGGAAAGGGAACGAGGTAGAGGAAGAAATGTACCATAGTAGCTAGCTGTTTCTATGAAGGGAAAGGGAACGAGGTAGAGGAAGAAATGTACCATAGTAGCTAGCTGTTTCTATGAAGGGAAAGGGAACGAGGTAGAGGAAGAAATGTACCATAGTAGCTAGCTATTTCTATGAAGGGAAAGGGAACGAGGTAGAGGAAGAAATGTACATTAGTAGCTAGCTGTTTCTATGAAGGGAAAGGGAACGAGGTAGAGGAAGAAATGTACCATAGTAGCTAGCTGTTTCTATGAAGGGAATGAGGTAGAGGAAAATGTTTCATAGTAGCTAGCTGTTTCTATGAAGGGAAAGGGAACGAGGTAGAGGAAGAAATGTACATTAGTAGCTAGCTGTTTCTATGAAGGGAAAGGGAACGAGGTAGAGGAAGAAATGTACCATAGTAGCTAGCTGTTTCTATGAAGGGAAAAGGAGCTAAAGAGGAAAAATGTACCATAGTAGCTAGCTGTTTTCTATGAAGGGAAATGTAAGGGAATATGTAGCTATAGCTATTTTATGAAAGGAAAGGGAACGAGGTAGAGGAAGAAATGTACCATAGTAGCTAGCTGTTTCTATGAAAGGGAAAGGAACGAGGTAGAGGAAGAAATGTACATTAGTAGCTTTGTTTCTATGAAGGCTATCTAGAAATGTACCATAGTAGCTATCTATTTTTTTTCCTCAAACTGTTTCTAGGTAGAGGAAGAAATGTACCATAGTAGCTAGCTGTTTCTATGAAAGGAAAGGGAACGATTTTAGGAAGAAATGTCATTAGTAGCTAGCTTTCTATGAAGGGAAAGGGAACGAGGTAGAGGATAGCTAAATGTAAGGAAGGGGAACATCTAGCTATCTATTTCTATGAAGGGAAAGGGAATCTATCTATCTATGTATCATAGTAGCTATCTGTTTATCTTTCTAAAGGAATGTACCATAGTAGCTAGCTATTTCTATGAAAGGAAAGGGAACGGGGTAGAGAAGAAATGTACAACATAGTAGCTAGCTGTTTCTATGAAGGGAAAGGGAACGAGGTAGAGGAAGAAATTTACCATAGTAGCTAGCTGTTTCTATGAAAGGAAAGGGAACGAGGTAGAGGAAGAAATGTACCATAGTAGCTAGCTATTTCTATGAAAAGGAAAGGAAAAATGGAGGCTAGCTATTTCTATGAAAAAGGGAAAATTATACCATAGTATCTATCTGTTTCTATCTATAGAGGAAGAAATGTACCATAGTAGCTAGCTATTTCTATGAAGGGAAATCGGAGTAAGGAAGAAATCTATCTAGCTGTTTCTATCTTTCTTTCTTTCTTAGAGGAAGAAATTACCATAGTTTCTAGCTGTTTCTATGAAGGGAAAGGAACGAGGTAGAGGAAGAAATGTACCATAGTAGCTAGCTATTTCTATGAAAGGAAAGGGAACAAACATGGAAGAAATGTACCATAGTAGCTAGCTATTTCTATATGAAGGGAAAGGGAACGAGGTAGAGGATTTTTATAAGTTTTATTTTTCTTCCCAAACGGAACGAGGTAGAGGAAGAAATGTATCATAGTATCTAGCTCTTTCTATGAATCTAAAGGGAACGAGGTAGAGGAAAAATATCTATCTATCTATAGCTGTTTCTATGAAGGGAAAGGGAACGAAAGGGAAGAAATGTACCATAGTAGCTGTTTTGAATTTCTTTAGAGAGAAAGTTCTTTCTATTTCTTTGAAGGGAAAGGGAACGAGCTAGGAAGAAATCTATCATTAGTAGCTAGCTTTTTATGAAAGGGAAAGGGAACGAGGTAGAGGAATTCCTTTCCATAGTTTCTAGCTATTTCTTTCTAACTAGTGAGCTAGAGCTAGCTATTTCTATCTAAGTTTTTATTTCTTTTCCCAAACGTCATTACCATAGTATCTATCTATCTATCTATCTATCTATCTTTTCTATCTATCTATGTCATATCTATCTATCTATCTATCTATCTATCTATCTATTTCTCTTCTATCTATGTACTCTAAACTTTCTTTCTTTCTTTCTTTCTTTCTTTCTTTTTTTTACTTTTCGAGCTGTTTCTATCTATCTAGCTAGCTAGCTGTTTCTATTTTTTTCTCAAACATGTCATTATGTACCTAGCTAACTAGTGAATGAAAAAGCTATTTCTATAAGTTTTATTTCTTTCGAGGTAGAGGAAAACGTCATTATCTAAGGATCTATCTATCTATCTATATATCTATCTATCTATCTATCTATCTATCTATCTATCTATCTATCTATCCTTTCTTTCTTTGAACCTTTCTTTCTTTTTTTCTTTCTTTCTTTCTTTTTCTTTCTAGCTAGCTATTTTTTCTAGCTATCTATCCTATTTTCTGCTTTTTTCTCAAACATGTCATTATGTACCTAGCTAACTAGTGAATGAGCTAGCTATTTCTATAAGTTTTATTTCTTTCCCAAACGTCATTATCTATCTATCTATCTATCTATCTATCTATCTATCTATCTATCTATCTATCTATCTATCTATCCTTTCTTTCTTTCTTTCTTTCTTTCTTTCTTTCTTTCTTTCTTTCTTTCTTTCTAGCTAGCTAGCTATTTCTGTTTTCCTACTTTCCCAAACTTCATTATCTATCTATCTATCTATCTATCTATCTATCTATCTATCTATCTATCTATCTATCTATCTATCTATCTATCTATCTATCTATCTATCTATCTCAGTTTTCTTTCTTATACATTCCTTTGATTTCTTCCCTTTTTTTTCTCAGCCTGCGCAAACCTACCTGCTCGTCACTGCGTGGACGCAAACTAGATTACAATGGTTAACATATACGTCTCGTTGCCTTTGTCATTAGTGATTCCAAACCTCATTGAATCCATCAAATATAACGTGACAAAGTAAAGAAAATCATAAAAAATAGAGCTCTCTCTCTCTCTATATATATATATGTGTATATTTCCGCATCGTCAATTGTTTCACAAATAGATCTATCTATCTATCTATCTATCTATCTATCTATCTATCTATCTATCTATCTATCTGAATATATATATATATATATATATATATATATATATATATATATATATATAAACAGAGAATTGTACCAAAGGAACTGATATATATCTTTGAATAAAGTGGACGTCATATCTAAGGCACCTTTCGGCCAACACTTTGTCAAAGATATTCGTTGGCAATCTTTAATTTAAATGAATACAAAGGCAATAAAGTGAATGAGGAGGGAAAGTTGGAACTCGACTAAAAGACAAATTTTAATTATATAAATTAAAATCGAATGGGGGGGTGATATCAATAAATAGTTCCACAAGAGTATATAAAATAGAAAAAAGGGAAACTCACAGACCCTCCAGCAGACGTAAGGAACGTAAAAAGTGTTCCTTCTGTCTACACAGACTGGGTTGCTGGCATTTAATATAAACGGCTTCAGAATCTCGAAGATAGTGTATAGATCGAGCACTCTGTAATACCGAAAACCGTGTCTTCGTACTCGGCGGCACAAACATCATTGTCCAGCAAATGTTGGCCGATTGCTGACTCATGGACTGACTGGTTTGTTCTTCTTATAGGTTGGCCGGGACTGCTTGAACGTACAAAAACAGGAACATGCTGCGCCACCCTCGTTTCCAACCTTAGATTGGTACGTCCTATGTATACCGCGTCGCAACGGCATTTGAATAACAGAAATTTTATGAAAATAGGACAGCCTATCTTTAGAAAAAGAAGGAATGGCTCTAGTATGAAAAACCGTGCACAACTGAACAGCATTATATATAGACAGAATGGACGCTGAAGTTTTGTCCGATAATAGCTGACATTTCCTGCCAAGCCAAGGTAACTTCAAATAAACAGAGCATTGGCTAGGGCCGAATGTCACAGGCTCCTTAAAGCGTCTGATTTTGTTGTCGATCACATGCCTGATAATATTTCGAATTTTAGTAAGTTCTCCATCTAAAATTTCAGGTGAACAAATCATAACAGCACGATGGACCAAAGTCGAAATCAAATTAATTTTGCATGACTTAGGAACAAACGAGTTCCAGCTCGTATAGAGTCCACTGAATGTGGGCTTACGAAAAACATTAGTGACGAAAACCCCATTCTTTCGTTCAACTAGGATATCCCCCAAAAAAGGGAGAACTCTATTCTTTTCAATCTCCATTAAGGGAAGGATGGAGAGATTTAGTTGAGCTAGAAAATTAGAGCATCTTTGAAAGAATCAAAAATGGAAAAAGTATCGTCCACATATCTCATATAGACAAGGGGTTTACAACAGGGTGAGACCGGCAGGCTCGCAACGACCACGCAGGTATGGACTTCGTAAAGTACACAAAAAGGGAGTCCCACTTAGACCTATTTTGTCTATGGTGGGATATGACGTCCACTTTATTTAAAGCTATATATATATATATATATATATATATATATATATATATATATAAATGGTGGGATAAGTTCTGCTGCGCACTGGCTCTTATCATAATTCCTGGCAGATCTTCTATTATGACCGTGTGGGATATCTAATAACAAAATTGATCGAAACAAAATAAAAAAGAATCTAAATGAAATCGACTAGGTTATAAAAAAAAATCCCTGACATCCGTCGTTCTTGCGCATGTCGCACCAATTTATGCGGATGAAGTCCTAAAAAATGAAACGCGTCACACTGAAACGTTTTACACATTTGGTAATTCCATTTTTTCCAGGATATTTTTCTTGATATATGAAAATTTATATATAGTTATGTCACACATATATATATATATATATAGAGAGAGAGAGATAGAGAGAGAGAGATCCACAGACAGACTGTTTCGGTGCATCGCAGATCTTCAGTGTGGCCAAACATCCAATTGCCTCAAGCCAGGATCGAAACTCGACAGATTTGGCATCAGTCAGAGACCTTACCTATAAGCTGTCGGCGCACGGCAAATAGAAAAGGGAGTTTCACATTTTCTATGCGAAATTCGGCAGTATCCAGGAGAGCTCAATTCGTAATTGAAGAGCAATGCATTAATAGAAGCAGCCACTGTTTTGAAAATTACCCTTTTCTCCCGAGAGCTCTATCATATCTCCGATTGGATATAGAGAGTCAGTCACAGACAGACTGTTTCGCTGTATCCTAACTGTCCAGTTTGGCTAGACGTCGAATTGCTTCAAGCCGGGATCGAAACTCGACCGATTTAGCATCAGTCAGAGATCTTATCCCTAAGCTCTCGGCGTACAGGGAGGCGATATATAATGATCTTATATATCAATAACAATTTTTTAGGGGAAAAAATAATGACACAAAAACGGAAAACTTTTCGTGTGACGGATTCGTCCTTTAGGACTTCATCGGACTAAGTTTATGTTTACGCTGATACGAACGAAAGAGATGCTGAGAATATTTGTGTTTTTAAATTAATTTCCCATATATGTTTAGAAAGTATTGTGTTGTTCGCATATCTACTATTTGGAAATATGTTTCTTGGGTTTACTTTCTCTTTCGAAAGTCAGTCCGTTACTCCTATGTATATATTTGTCGTTGGTTAGAAAATACTTTTTAGGAAAAAAAAAATTGGGGAAACATGAGAATTCTATTCTGAAATTATTTTTAACGAATAGAGAACGCTTATCACAGCCTCGTGTATGTATATATATATATATACGTTTACGCATATCTATCTATATATATATATGAGAATAAATATATATATACGCGTATAAATATCTATCAGATAGATAGATATTTATACGCATCTCTCTCTCTCTCTCTCTCTCTCTATATATATATATATATATATATATATTCATTGGTTTAGCTTACTCCATCACAAAGGAATATGCTCAGGAATATATCGATTTCTTACTTCAAAGTAGAGAAAGGGAGGTCTGGTTGGAAAATTGTAACGGAACTCGCTTTCGACATGCTATATTTTAAGGGAGAGATGGGATATTAAGAGAAAAATACTTTGCCAAGAGTATATATATATATATATATATATATATATATATATATATATAATTTCTTTAATTTGTTTTTATTTTCCAATTTACAGTATAATCATACAGCATATCTCCCCCTCACTTTTTCTCAAATATATTTTTATTTTACTTTTCTTGTTCTTTTTCTCTAAAATCTGTTTTTTTTCTGTTGAACATACGGTCTGCTTTTCAGTGGTAATTTTGCTTTAGACTTTATAAATTCGAAATGTCGTCTGTTTTTTTAGCTTCGCTTTTAAGGAAAAAAAATAATTCTTGGAAATGAGTCATTCATAGGATTGTTTTCTATCTTTATTCGCTGAAAATATTTTTTGTATAAATTTGGCAGAAATGTCTTGGATGTTGTTCAAACCACTTGTCGTATTTCCTTAACTCTGATTTCCCTCTCAGTGTCAAGAATATAATATATATATATATATATATATATATATATATATATATATATATATATTCTTCATAAAATAGATGTATTGACAGAGAGAAAGAAAGTGAAATACTGAATATATATGTTTGTGTGCGTATGTATATGTATATGTTTGTACATATACTTATATATATACATATATATTATATATATATATATATCTCTATATATATATATACATAATCAATATATATATTGAATATTTATATATATATATATATATATATATATATATATATATATATATATATATATATATATATTGACAGAGTAAAAAAAAGTGAGATCCTGAACATATATATATATATATATATATATATATATATAAAGAACTATAGTCTTAAGACGTGCTATATTTATGGGATAAAGTGCTCAATATCAGATATAGAGCGTGTGTAAATATATAATATATATATATATATATATATATATATATATATATATATATATATATATAAAGAGAGAGAGAGGAGAGAGAAGACAAAAGGAAGGAGAAAGGGTGAGAGACAGCGAGGGGGTTAGAGAGGGTGTGGATATAGGAATCGACACTACATGTTGACTAACATTTTTATGCTACAATCAGTTTAACATGCCTAACATTGCCTATCTCTATAAACGGTCTATTTACGATATTTAACATAAGCAATATTAAACAGCCACATGCACATATGTACACAGTCACAGACACACGTGAACATACACTCATGCACACAAAAACTCACACACATAGAGATATATTACTCCGAACGCCCATCAGGGTTTTTAGAAATTGATTGCTTATACTTTTCGATTTTTCTTTTTATATGCACATTTCATTCGTGTCTGTTTACATACACACACACACACTTACACACACGCACACACACATATATATATATATATATATATATATATATATATATATATATATATAGAGAGAGAGAGAGAGAGAGAGAGAAAGAGATACAGAAGAAGAAAATTAGGAAATGCGCCGATTCTGTGGTAACAACTGCAACCTTTGTCAACAAGAAAAATTAGCTTTAACAATATTTACAAACCCCCCAAAAACTTTTGAATCAGAGATCAGAACTTATGACCCGTTGTATACATCCTAAAAAGTTTCTTTCCAGTTCATTTGAATTGGCAGATAAGGTACGTATATATATTTTCTATGAAAATTTCTCGGACATTCAGGCCGGTAAATGTTATTTAAAACTGTTTATTATAAACAGAGCATTTACTTAAATACTTGTATCTATAAAAAGAACGTTAAACATAAAATGTCTTTAATAAATAAATTGTCGGACTTTGTCCATTTCTTAATATATGACGTCATTTGTTTACATTTGATACGCCAAGAGCAGTTATGAACGTACGAGGATTCATAGAAGATTGAAGTTTATAAGCAGTAAATTCGACATTGCCTACCGAACGCTCCTTTGTGGCCGAGACGGTAAGGCACGTCAGCGTAAATGACGGTTCCGTATAGGATGCAGGTTCGAATCCCGTCAAATGACGAATATTTTCTATGAAAATTTCTCGGACATTCAGGCCGGTAAATGTTATTTAATACTGTTTATTATAAACAGAGCATTTACTTAAATACTTGTATCTATAAAAAAGAACGTTAAACATAAAATGTCTTTAATAAATATATATATATATATATATCATATAATCCACCGCCGATGCATTTCCAATACACTTGATTGTGCCGTTCTCCTCACTTTTTACCACATCTCCGATCATGCGTTTATTGATATAAATATAGCGTTCATAAATTTTTATATTTAAAAAAATAAAGCGTTAGAAAATCAATTGAGTAAAATCGCCTGAAGATACTGAAAAGTTGAAACAAATGTAGCGGAATCCCTGATTTTCTAATTTTCTCTACTTAAAAGCTCCACATGTTAAATTTTAATATTTTTCTATGCGTATTTATAACTTTTTTAAATGCCATTGTTGCCCCCCCCCCATATATATATCCTTTCAATAATATATAGGTTTCATATATATTAATTGTATGCGTTATTTTTCTTTTTCAACAATTTTTTCATTCTGTTTTGTTTATTCACTTCATTATGTATCTGTCTATATTTCTGAGATGAGGTATTATGTACATTATTGACATTATTCGGACTATTGTCGTCATCTTCGTCGCCATACTTATTACAACGTTTCAGCCGTTGTACGCTCCGGTCTTCTTCAGGTGGTTGGAATGTCGAACTGAACACTTTATTTCGCTCACTGGAGTAGACTTTTCTAGTTCCACGTGCCATGTTTAATGGATGTCAGTTATCAGTTATAAAATAAACGATTCAGTTCAACATTCCAACCACATGAAGAAGGCGGGAGCGTACAACGGCCGAAACGTTGTAATAAATATGGCGACAAAGATGAGGACAATAGTCCGAATACTGTAAATAATATCCACTTTATGTTTGCTTTCTTCCTCTTTTTATTCTATTAATATCTTCTGTTTTTTTTCCACTTTTTCTTTCCCCCTGTACCTTTTTTTACATGACTCCTCCTTTCGTTCCTTCTGTCTACCTTTCCCGTTTATTTTGCTTATCTTAATTTTTTAATCTGGGTCTGACGATAAACTACATCCGGCAGTAAAGCCTCTGATCGAGAGCTTTTGAGAAACGTGGAATCAAATTTTAATTGCCGTTATTATAAGGTTCAGCTGTGGGCAAATAGTTAACCCCCAAACTGGGGTCAAAACACTATCAAAGTATAACATTTTTATTGTAAAAATAACAGCAATACATTCTCATAGTAAAAATATTACCAACAATAACGTTTTGCAAAATATAAAAAATAAATAAAGTATTACCCTCAATACCACTCTGTAAGGAAAAATAATATTACCAGCAATAAAAAAATTACTAGCAATGTATTTTTGTAAAATTTAAAAACATAACCAGAAATACATTTTAGAAGAAAAAATTATTGTGTGTATATATATATATATATATATATATGTGTGTATATGTGTGTGTGTATACATGTATTAAAATCAGTAATGCCAATGTTAATGTATATAATTCAACGTATATTAAAACGAAGAGAATGCCTGTTAATAAAACGACACTCGGCAGGTTTTGAATTCAAATAGACCAGTTGCCATCCAAGGCTGTAGAACCCAGTCTGTCCTGGTATTTACTCATAGCTAGAGAAAGAAGAGGAGCATTAATACCCCTCTCAAGTGCATTGGGACGTAAGTGAATGTAATGGATTCGACTGTAATTCGATCTTGGCTCTCCGATTCCTCAATCCGAGCCGCTGTCCTACTCCTCGTGCCTGTGTCTGTAGATGTCTTGAAAAAATATATATATATATATATATATATATATATATATATATATATATATATATATATATATATATATATATATATATATATATATATATATATATATATGATATATAAATGATGTGTGCCGTTTTTTTTTTTATTTTGTCGACTGCACAGTACAGTGTAGTCTGTTGGTCACCGTCTATGAGAACAAATTTTCGTGTGTCAATCTGAGGACACAATTCAAAGAATTCGGAAAGAGTTGGACGTGCCTAATGGGGATTATGAAGGGGTCTGGAGTGATCACTAATGATGGCGACTTTATGCCTCCATTCACCATCCGCAGGGTCTACGAATCAAAACTGAGGTCTACATCAAATGCTAGTATTCACCAACTAGTGAATACTGCTATAATCAGTCGGAGAAGAGTCGCAGAAGATTCCGAAGTCGTCAGGATGGCATGGTTGAAGCCAATGACGACTTCATTGAATTACATTTACTCTTTAATATTTCAGGATATTTTTGTCTGTTAAAATGAGATGTCGGTGTTATTTTCATCTTTGCATAATTTGAATAACAATTTATACACCGCACACTGTATATGCATGCATATGTATAAATATATATATATATAATTCAAATTATATACACACAATCGTACACACATACACGTGGGACACACACACACACACACACACACACACACACACACACACACACACACACACACACATATATATATATATATATATATTTCGATCAGTGTATTTCTGAATGCTGGATGATAACGCGTATACGGCAAGCAAATGCAAGAAATACATCATTGATAGAAAACACGGGAAATAAAGATATAGAAAATATTTACATTGTATCTTATTTGTTTACTATATATATATATATATATATATATATATATATATATATATATATATATATATATATATTATATCTTATTTGTCTTATGTGAGTATTGTGTGTATATATATATATATATATATATATATATATATATATATATTGTATCTTATTAAATGTCTTGTGTGTGAGTGTTTGTGTGTGCGTGTTTGTGTATGTTTTCGTTTCTTGAGTGAATATACCAGAAGTGAACTTTACGTCATCGTTGCCATGGTAAAGAATTTAAATTCATGCTACCATTTTTTTTTTTGCTGCGTCTGATGCAACTGCTTCTTTCTTGACAATGTGTTTCTTCTCTCGATCTTCTGTTTCTTACTCCCTCTTATCATCACTGTGTGTCCTTTTCCTCCCACCATTTTCCCGTACACCTGGTTCTTAGTCCACACCCCCAACATTAGAAGACTTCGTTTTCTGTTTTATATCTCACAGTAGCTACCAGCACACGTGCGTGCACATGCACTGAACCAAAAATGAACACACCTTGCTCGTGGTTGCAGGTACGCAAAACAGGTGCATTTGAAAACGTCATGCAATACGAACTATTTACAGGTAGGTACCGAAATCCAGAGGCCGACTTACATATGGTTTAGATTTTCATAATTTTAGTTAAGCGTAATTAACCTCATAAATTGTTTTTTTTTTTAATCGATATCTCCCCCTGTAAGGCCGTAATGTCACTAAGACACAAAGGGCTTCCTGGGTGTGCAAATTAGGTACAAAAACATTAATAATGAGCAAAAGAACAATCAGGAAGGCAGCAGAGAACGATTGATATTGCATCTAAATTGTTGCGGATTAAAGTTGGCTGGAAAGCATGGACCCGGAAGAGAGTTCCACAAGCGAGACGTGCGAGAAAAGAAACTGTTAGTATAGAATTTACGGCTACATCTAGCCAGCTCAACTTCCGATTGAGCAGCTCTCAACACCAGTCTAGTACTGAGCTTAAATTCAAAATGTATAAGTACCATAGTGAAGAGCGATATTTATTTGTCGTTTATTTACAAAATGTGGCACAAGGTCAAAATATGGAATGGGGGAAAAGGACGATCTTTTTCTGTCAACGTTAAACTTAGCTAGCCAGAAACACTGACCCAAACTTACAACAATATTCCTTACTCCAAAACAACGCATTTTTAATTATCTTTATTACTACATTCACCCTAATACCTCATTGTCTCTATGAACGTCTTAACTAAAACTCATATCGACAATTCATTCTCTGTAGAGGGAGAGGAATAAAAAGAACAATTTAAAAATTAGCCGCAATGTGTATTTACAATATGAATATAAATCTATTTAGAAGAAACTAAACAAAATAATGTTAGTAATACCCCCCCAATCCTTAAATGTGGCAGAAACATCAGTTGACTGGACGAAATCAATGCGGGACTATAATAAAATAAAATATTCATTCATTCCAAGCACTCACACAAACACACACTCATTCAGACACAACAACAAATACAAAACACATACCCGAAACGAAAGGCGCCCCGCATCCACCAGAGAACTGACATCACTGATCACCTAATGAGGGAAGGGATGGGAAATTAAACCAAAGAAAAAATGGGGACAGAAATAAAAGGGCTAATGAGCATACATACACTTAAAGATACAAAAACAGCCCTAAACTACCTTATTCCAGGTGGGGTTAGCCTATGTTCAACACAGGGAGAACGATACCCGGACGCCTAACTCAGGACGAACAGCTCATCCGAAGCATGAATATTTATAGAAAAGGCACAGAGAGGAAACCTTACGGTGGTGGGAAAGTAACTGAAACCGAGCTGCCAAATCAGGACCAATAATATTGCTGATTTTTCTTTGGATTTTATCAAGGAGCTCAAAGTAAATAGCTGGGGCATCAAACCATATATGGCAGCAATATTCTAAGCATATGGTTAATAAGTTTTGCTTAATAAATGATCCCGTTTCTCAAAATTAGCGAAGCCGGAAATTCTGATGTTCCAAAGAGAATCTGTAAAGAATTTCTTGTGAACGAAAAGGTTAAAATTTATAAGAAAAGAAAATCGTATGCGTTACCAGCTAAGACGGAACGTTTTGGCAAATACGTGACGTTACTTTGGAGTTGCAATCAATTCATTTCGTGACCACACCCTCCGAGAGCCATTAGGGTAGTAGGGACACCATATGAAGTGTATCCGCTGTGATGTACTTTGTGCAAAATAGATTGACGTAACACGACACTCTTCGGCCTGATTTGAATTAGAGGACCTAGACTCTCCGGCTCTTTACGCATAGTTAGTGGAAAAAGTGATGGTACCTTTCCCAAGGGTATTTACGTGTAACTAATTAAACGAATGGGATTCGACCTCGGCTCTCCGATGATCATTAATTTAGATTTTTAAAAAAATATATTTCACACAAAGCAAGGCAATAAATCCACTAAGACGCACGTGATTACTGAATGTTAGAGAATGAATAAAAACTACGAAAGAGAGAGAACAAAAAAAAACAAACAAACAAAAAAAAAAAACCAAAAAACAAAACAAAGAATTACGAAGACTGCAGATAGGGCTGGACATTGCATTTAAATATTTGAAGATCGAAGTTAACTGGGAAGCAAGGAGCCTGAGGAGAGTACCATAATAGAGAAGTGCGATAGAAGAAACTGTTAGCATAGAACTTACGGTTACATCTAGCAGTTTCACCAGTAAAATGATAAGACTTTGCCGCTAATCTACTATTGCACTTAAATTCGTAAAGAACGGTTACGATGAAAGTATTTATAGAAAAGGTACGGAAAAGCTACGTTACAGTCGTGAGAAAGTGACTGAAACTGAGATTCTATTTCAGGACCAGTCATAGAGCAGATTCATCTTTGGATTTTACCAAGAATCTCTAAAAACATAACAGGAGCACCAGACTAGATGTGGCAGCAATATTCAAAGTAAGGACGAATAATAGATATAAATATGTAAGATAGTTTCCGACGAGAAAAATTGTCTCGCACATCACACTGAACCAACTTTCCTAGAAGCAGACCTAGCAACTGATTCAATAACATTTTTCCACTTCATCATATTTTAGATGATGAATTCACGGTCTAATATAATCATAGAATCTATTATCCATTTTCTGTCAATTTAACATTACAATTTACAAAGTAACGTTGTGGACCCATTGTGGCGAGTCTGCAAAAAGAACAGAGTTTTTGAAACCGTTGCAGAGCCATTGCAGCAACGGCCTTTTGTGAGCTGGGTTCTTTGCTAAGTTCTGAGGTAACCTATTGTCACTTTCTCGTACGTTATTTATAGGCATCAGACTTAATCACTTATAAGTATCATTACCTTCTATTCCCGTCGTGGGTATGACGATGAAATACATCTGGCAGCAAGGCATGTTATCTTTATGTTTTGAGGAGCGTAGAATCACCTCTTTGTTTCTGTTGTCCCCAGGTCCACCATAGCTTGCTTGGGTCGCACCTATGGGCAAATAATGAAATCCAAAGCAGGGGACTGAACACTATGAAAGTATAAAAATACAAGCAATAGATTTTTATAGTAAAAAATAATTTTCAGAAATACATTTTAATAGAAAAAAAAATTAACAAAGGTAAATGTCGGCATTAAATAACCCATAAGGAGTTGATATGCCGTTAAACAAACGACCCAAATCAAACATTCTATTCAGTTCAGGGTGCATAGAATATTACTGACATATATGGTCTGGTGCTCCCGCTGTACATGTCGAGGTCCTAGATAAATTCCTGAGACGATACGTAAAATGATAGGTTTTGATCTGGCATCTAGTCAATAATCGCTATCCCACAGACTTGCCGTGGCTTCCCTCTGTCTCTTCCTCAAGTATTTTCATGGCAACGGTTCCGATGATCTACTTTCACTGGTTTCCAGACTGCATGAATTTAAGCGAGCTACTAGGCTTGCATCTTGGTCCCATCCTTTCACAGTCAAAACGGTTAAATGTAGCCGTCTCTTCTACTCAAACAGCTTCTTCTCCCGCACTTCCCGTCTGTGCAACTCCTTTCCCCTTACTTGCTACCCCGATGACTATAATCTTCAAATATTCGAGTGTAATGACAATCGACATCTGACACCCTGAGCTTGTTCCCCGTATTTCTCTGTATCCTTTCCTCAAACACGCCTCTTTACTCTTGCTCTCAATCCTCTGTAACCCTTTACGTGCTAGTGGAACTCCCGACTTGCTTAGGGTGAATTGCCTTAAAAAAATATTTTTAAAAATAATTTCACCCAAAGAAAGCCGATAATGCGTCTATGACGCTAAGATTACTCGAAGTGGAAGAGAATGAATAATATTTTAGTGAGGAGAAAGGACAATAAAAGAACGGATTTTGGAAGGCATAAACTTGCGATTGACGTTGCATTTCGAAGATTGTAGGTGTCAGGGAAGCAAGAAAACAGAAGAGAGTTCTAAGATTGAGAAATGCGAAAAAATATTTTTTAGAATAAAGCTTAAAGCTACACCTAGCCATTTCAACAGTAAAACGATGAGGCCATATTTCTTTTTAAATCAATTCACTTCAAGCAAAGCAATAATGCCTCTAAGACGCACGGGGTTATTGATAGTGGAGGAAAATGAGAAGATTTTAGAAGAACAAAACAGGAAACCCAGGAAACAAGGGATAAACATATGCTACTATTCAAAAGACGAGGGAGGAGTGAGAACCGGGCAATAAGAGAAGCTATCTGTTCCTCGTCATTCCATTCTTTCACACTTAATATTCTTCCGTTATTGAATTATTTGTTTTTTCTTCTTTCTTTTTTCCTCTCTATATCCTTTTATTTTCTGCCATTATTCCCTCACGCTCTTTACAGGTTTTTCTTCTTCCTTTTCTTCCTTTCTCCTTTTATTTCCTTTCATTTTCGTTCATGTCGTCTGCAGTTTTTTCTTCTTTCTTTTTTTCCTTTCTCCTTTTATTTCCTTTTATTCTTCGATCATGTCATCTGCAGTTTTTTCTTCTTCCTTTTCTTCCTTTCTCCTTTTATTTCCTTTCATTTTCGTTCATGTCGTCTGCAGTTTTTTCTTCTTCCTTTTCTTCCTTTCTCCTTTTATTTCCTTTTATTCTTCGATCATGTCATCTGCAGTTTTTTCTTCTTCCTTTTCTTCCTTTCTCTTTTTTTTTTTTCATTTTTCGTTCATGTCGTCTGCAGTTTTTTTCTTCTTCCTTTTTTTCCTTTCTCCTTTTATTTCCTTTTATTCTTCGATCATGTCGTCTGCAGTTTTTCTTCTTTCTTTCCTTCCTTTCTCTTTTTATTTCATTCAATTCGTTGCTCTTATAATCTCCAGTTTTTCATCTTCCTTTTCTTCCCTTCTCATTTTATTTCCTTTCATTCTTTGCTCACGCCATATCCAGTTTTTTTTTTCTTTTTCCTTTCCTTACTATTTTCTTTCATTCTTTGATCATGTCATCTACAGTTTTTCTTTCTTTTTTTCATTTATTTCTCCTTTTATTTCCTTCCATTCGTTGCTCATACCATCTGCCGTGTTTTCTTCCTTTCTCCTTTTTTTTCCATTCTTCGCTCAAGTCGTCTGTAGTTTTTTCTTCTTTCTTTCTGCCTGTTCACATTTTATTTCCTTCCATTATTTCCTCAATACCTTTACAGTTTTCCTTCTTTCTATCATTCCTTTCTCCTTTTATTTCCTTAAATTCTTTGTTCATGTCATCTGCAGCTTTTCTTTCCTTCTTTTTTCCTTTCCTTCCTTTTACCATTTACTTACTTCTATTATTTCCTCACGACCCGTGCAAACTTTCTTCTTTTTTTCTTTCATTTCTCGTTTTTTTTTTCCTTCCATTCTTTGCTCATGTCATCTCCAGGTTTTCATCTTCCTTTTCTTCCTTTTTCCTGTTATTTCCTTTTATACTTTTCTCGCGACATCTGAAGGTTTCCTTCTTCGTAAACTTTCTTTCTGCTTTTAATTCTTTCCATTCTTTGCTCACGTCATTTGCAGTTGTTTCTTCTTTCTTTCCTTCTTTTCTCCTCTTATTTATTTCCATTTATTGCTCACTACCTCTGCATTTTTTCTTCTTTCTTTCTTTCCTTTTCTCTTTTCATTTCCTTCCATTCTTTGCTCATGTCATCATCAGTTTTGTCTTCTTCTTTTTTCCTTTTATTTCCTTTCATTCTTTGCTCACGTCATCTGCAGGTTTTCTTCTTTGTAACCTTCCTTTCTGCTTTTATTTCCTTCCATTCTTTGCTCACGTTGTCTGCAATTATTTCTTCTTCCTTCCTTTCTACTTTTATTTCTTTCCATTTTATTGCTTACGCCCTCTGCTTTTTTCTTCTTTCTTTCCTTCTTTTCTCTTTTATGTCCTTCCTTTCTTCTCCAGTTATTCTTTCTTGTTTTCCTTCCTTTCATCATTTACTTACTTCCATTATTTTCTCGCGACCCCTGCAGACTTTTCTATTTTTCCCTTCATTTCTCGTTTTATTTCTTTCCATTCTTTTCTCATGTCATCATCAGTTTTGTCTTCTTCCTTTTTCCTTTTATTTCCTTTCATTCTTTGCACACGTCATCTGCAGGTTTTCTTCTTCGTAACCTTCCTTTCTGCTTTTATTTCCTTCCATTCTTTGCTCACGTTATCTGCAATTCTTTCTTCTTTCTTTTCTTCCT